AGCGTGAGAGCCTGGGGCCCCCGCGCCCGCCCCTGCCTCTCCCTCACCCCGACCAGCTCAAGGCTTTGTACCAGCACCAAGCTCAAACAGCACTCGCACACTTCTTTTTTTATAGATGTATTTTTAGGAGTTGGGGGGAGCGACGCAGAGTTCACAAGGGAGCAGCATCACTGGCACAGGGTCCCCCACGGGCTCTGCTCAGTGCGAGGGGGTGAACTTGCAGATGTAATGATGCTGCTGGGTGCAGTCGGCGCTGGACCACACGGTGAACCCTGATGGAGAAATGGGCTGGGGATTAGTGGGGGCCACAGTGAGGACAGGGGAGCCGGCTCTGCCTGCCACAGCCCCACGGTGGGACAGGACCCAGAGAAGAAGAAGAAGAGGGTGCTAGCCAAGGTCGACCACTGGAGAGGGATGCGGGGTTCAGGCACTCACCACTGAGGTGTGTCAGCACACCACAGGTCCCCCCGTGGGCACCATTCCCAGCCAGGCCACTGCTGCTGATGCTGTAGTTGTCCCCACTCGTCCACTGCCAGACCCGGCTCTATGCAGGGAGAGGCAGATCAGAGCCTAGCCCTGCTGCCTCCCAGCCCCCTGCCACCCCTGCCTCACCTCCTGCCCATAGCGGAGACCGAGCCAGACGGGCTGCACACGCTGGTAGTAGGAGATGACCCTCTGCAGGGTGGCTGCCTCCTGAGGCTCATTGACCCAGGCCAGGTGAGCACCGGCATGGCTGGCCTGGCAGTGCCTCTGTGGGGAGAGCCATCAGTGCTAGGGCACCCCAGCAGATGGAGGATCCCCAGCCACCTCTGTACCCCAGTGGTCTTACCTCAGCCTCATCCCAGCTCTGGAGCTGACTGAAGTACCTGAAGCAGCTGAGCTTGTAGTAGGACCAGCCTTTTGGGCAGTAGTTTATGTACCTGGCACCTGTGGAGGGAAAGCAGCAGAGAGGGTTGAGGGACAGCTGGCACCACCAGCCGGAGAGGACCGTGTCCCTCTCCTGGCCCTGCTGCAAAAGCAGCTGCCCCTGCATCGTGGGACTTACCGGCTGACTGCAGGAACCCCACACAGACCAGCAGCAGGAGGTACAATCTGGTTGCTGCCACCATCCTCCTTGCTCTCTGAAGTGTCCCCTGTAAGAGCTTGGGGGGGTCACATCAGATCCCTCGGGGACAGGGGATGCCACCTGTGCCCAGAGGGTGCAAACTCACCTTGCTGCAGATTGAATCTGGCCCTTTTGAGCCACCTGGAGGAGCTGACAGCCTTGGGAGCTATGCCTCACTCTCTCCTCCCTGGCACAGGTCACTGCCCTGTGCCCACACCCCATCCCCAGGCACGGCTCAGGGTCCCATCCCACACTGGCAGTGTGCTGTCCTAGCCCCACCAGCCCCAGCCTCAGTGGGAGGCATCTGGGTGAGTCAAGCTGCTCTTTGGGGACTTGGGGAGAGCACTATCACAGGCACGTGTGGGGGACCTCAGACCTGCCCTGGCACCAGCAGCAGCAATGGCACAAGCAGAGCTGAGGCTGGTAGGGCTGCAGGGACTGCATACACAGCAGTGTTTTCACCACCCACCCCCCCAAACTCAGAACACTGCCAGACCTAGGCCAGGGAGGCAAATAAGCCCCATCAGCACAGTTCCCCTTTATCTGGGCTAATCCCTGGGCACCAGGGCTGGTTTGCAGACTCAGCTCATCTTCCCCTCAAAGAAGCAGTGACAAAAGTTGACTCGGGCCTGAAAATTGCATCGTTGCAGTGCTCTGCTCCCCTAGGAGCTACCAGGGCTGGGACAGGCTCCTGCTCCCCATAAGCCACCTTTGAGCATCCTGAGGCCCCAGCCACCCCACGACAGTCCCCTTCCTCACCAGCTCTCTGTAGATCAGGAGGAATAACAGCTTCTCATGGGTCAATGCAAGAGGAGAAGAGCTGCTCTTTATAGCCTGGTGCTCATCACCATCATTGTTTGCCCAGCTCAGGTGATTCCCACCATAAAAATCCTTCTATTGACTCCCCTCTGTCCCCCTTAACTTTGCTGGAAGTCTGCCCAGATCTCTACTCTGTTTGCATTCAATGTTTCTCCAGAAAAGACAGGAAGAACCTCTCCTAGTTGGTCAACAAACCCCCTTGCAATTAACGTCAATTAACAATCTAAACACAGATAATCTTGGGACCTGGCATGGGTGCCCACTGGCCCAGCCCCGCTTGGACCAGGCTGCTGGCAAGGGTGAGCCCTGGGGGGAGGCTGCCCCGATCCCAGCCAGGGCATCCCTGTGACGAGTGGCCAGGCCACGGCTACCACCCGCTGGAGTTGCCCCCATCCCTGGCCAAGGGATGGCACCCGGGCGGGCACCACGCCCTGCCCAGCTCCACCGTGCGTCATCCACACACCGCCCTTGTTTGAACTGCCTGGGGATGTTTGTCAGCTGGATGGGGGACGCGGGGATGTGGGAACAGCCTGCGGCCGGGGACTGGCAGGGGCCATCAGGAAGGGGGGGGGGGGTGCCCTGCCCCC